CGGATGACAGCTGCGTTATGACTTAATTCATTTCTGGTGCTTTCACTTCCAGAGACAGTTGTAAGCACTGTGTAACTGCCTCGAGGGTGCTTGACCATTGTAACACAACGTGGTGCGATCATCCCCCTTGCGCGGAGCGAGGGTTCTCCACCCCGCACAACATGATCTACTCGACCACCATTATGGTTACCGCCAAAAAAAAAACAGAGGTAAAAAAAAAAAACGGTAACCAGGTTGCCGAGTTCACGAAGTGAATTGGCTTGTTTTACAACGTCGTTGCCAGGCGAAACCCGACCCCTATGGCAAACACCGGGGGGGGGGGGGGTTTGATAAAAAGGGGGTTTGATAGCACGTCCCAACACCCCCGTGTGATGAAGGGGTCTGTTATACTGCGCGGCACATACCATGGTACGCCACCTACCGTAATGTAATACTGCGAGATGTGGTAAACAGACGGGGCTCAACGGAGGTGACGAAACGCTTGAGCACATGACCTCGACGATGTGTTACCCGCTCAACGCCAAAGAAAGTTTCAAACAAAAACGGACTTGAATGGAGCAGAAAAAAACGAAAAAATGTTAGGATCGAGGGCGCCCGCGCCCCGCGGCGCTGCGGCAAGTAAGGCGTCGCCTGGGAGCTAGGTATACGTTATGACCCAGGAACGGCGGGGACAAGAACCAAAAATGATAACGGGTCCATCTACCAAGCAGCATCCGTGTTTCTATCATGATTGCAGGATCAAAAACTAAAAACACAAAATCAAAGGTACCTCGCCCGATATATTGCCAGGCGGTCGCTACAGAGTGGCCATTCCGTCCTACCCCCTCACAAACAAACCTAGTAGGCCGCTGCTACCTACCTTGCTACGTCACCTCGACCGAAAAAATCAAGACCACTAACCACTACCGCAAACAACACTACGTTGCACTCGACGCGTCGAAGAAAACACACGACGAAGGAAGAGAACCGCACGCCAGGAGAAATGCGAGGGAACATGAGAAGGACACCCCAAGCCATTTCTCAACACCAGCATCGCCGCCGATGCCTCACGGCTCCTCGCCCTCGTCGTCGCTGATGTTACCACCACCACGCCCGTGTCGTCATCGTCGATCTCCAACACCTCCAGCAAGTTGCCGCTTCCCGACGAAGAGTCAGCCTTGTCCGCACCGGCCGATGGCGCGTCGAGGGGCTCCTCCTGGGCGTTGGAGTTGAGCTCCTTGTTGGCCCAGGCCTCGTCTTCCGACCCGTCGAAGGGAAGCAGCAGGCCAGCCTTCCTCCAGCTCGCGCGGACTTCATCCGCGGTCAAGGCTTCCCACGACTTCTTGACCCACTGTTCGACTAACCCCCGCGAAGGGGCCTCCGGGTAGCCGTGGTCGCCGCGTTTGACGTGAGGGGAAGCCATGTGGTGGTCGTAGAGCCTGGACATGTTTGCCTTGAAGATCTTGTTGACGAAGCCATCGCACGGCTGGAGCTTGGGAGTCAGGCCTCCCGGGATGAGAAACAGCGTCGTGTTGGACTCCGCCATCGCCTTGGTAGACGCGTCCGTCTTGTGGACGGTGTAGTCGTCCCACGCCAGCAGTGTGTCAGGCTGACGGTAGCTGCCCAGGCGACCCTGCCGCCCCGGGCGCTGGTTCCACACCTGAGGCAGCCAGACCTCGTTTAACACCCGCTGGGAGTGCCATGCCTTCGGGTCCACGGCGTAGACGACACCTCGAGGGTATGCGTAGCCCTTCTTGTCCTTGTAGTCCTTGAACTCGCGCTCGATGCTGTTGGCGGCAGGGGCCTTCCCCTTCGGCGTGGGCTGGCCCTTGAAGATGACGAGGGGCGGCAGCTTGCTGCCGTCGGCGAACACCGTCAGGACCGAAGTGATGCGCATCTTCTCCTTGCCACCGGTTTTGACGCCAACCTCCTTGTCGCCGGTGCGCTGCGGGATTCCATGGAACAGCGAAAAGCGACGTCAACGTCGGGTATGCAGAAACGATTTTTCATGTCAAGCTTGAAAGTGAGAGCAGCGGTTGTAAAAAAATATAACCAAAATCAGCGGAGGACAGGACGCGCAAGAAAAGACAGAAACTACGCATGTACATATATATCGTACACTCAAACTAGGTACGTACATGTATGGAGGCCAAGATAGGGATCGTTGTATCGAACGAAGCATGAGGAAAAACTAGGGCAAAAAAGAAACAACCAGGNCGCAAGAAAAGACAGAAACTACGCATGTACATATATATCGTACACTCAAACTAGGTACGTACATGTATGGAGGCCAAGATAGGGATCGCTATATCGAACGAAGCATGAGGGAAAACTAGGGCAAAAAAGAAACAACCAGGCACTCACGTTCACAGTGTTGTTCCCCGGGTTCTCCATCCACGTAGGAGTCTCATCCATGTTGGCGATCTGCGCCAAGGCGAACTTGGGACTCGGCCCCGACGGAACTCCAGCGCCACTCCCACCCCCGCTGCCGCTCGCGCTGCCTCCCGCCACTGCCCCCAGGCATTCGACTCCGTCCGCAAGCTCGAGCGCGGAAGGGACGTCGTACTTCAGCCTCCTCCACTCCTTGATCGCCTGCATGGCGATCACGGGCCAGCCGGTAGGAAGTTTCTGGCCTTGACGGGTGACGGCTCGCACAGAAAAGCGGTAGACCCTGAGAAACCTTCTGCACCACGCGGTCTTCGTGCGGGTGTACCGCAGGTTGCCCTCGATGTCGGACGGCGGCGGCCTCTCCCCGAAGAAGTTCGGGTTGAGTTCCGTGGCCTTGTTCTTGATCATCCTCGTCGAGACACGGGCGGAGATGCCGTCAGAACGCAGATCATTGATCCAGTCCACGACCTCGCGTTCGGCGTCCGTGTGCGTCCTAGTCCGTCCGACGTTCAGCGACATGCGGTGCTTGGCTTTCTTCCTGCCCTTCACTCGCGAGTACTTGGTCTCCTCCGCAAGCGCGGCTTCGTACTTGTCGACGTCTTTGACCCACGCCGCCAACGTGGCCTTGTCGGGAATCTTGAGGATCCTGCTGGCGTATGTTACGCCAACAGTCCCGCCCGGTCCTTGCGCCCCCTTGAGCTTTCTCTGCGAGTACCTCACGGCATTCACCTTGAACTGCAAGGTGTAGCGCTTCCTTTGGGTTCCACCACCATGGTCGGGAATCGGGAAATCCGGCGACTCCAGCTCCAGCCGCCCTTTCTTCCTCTTGCCCTTGTTCTGTGCCGGCGTACCGAAGAGAACGCCGCCGAGCCCATCTCCCCACTCTGTCTCTCCGGGAAACATCATGTTGCCGGATTTGCCATCGTTGGCCACCGGAGCTCCTGACGCTGGTGCTGGTGTGGGTGTTGCTGCTGTCGCTGCTGGTGTTGCTGCTGCCGCTGCTCCTGCGCTTCCTGATCCTGGAGCTGGTGCCGGTGCTGGAGCTGGCGCCGATGCTGGAGCTGGCGCCGGTGCTGCTCCTGATGGCGGCGCCCCGGGTGTGGAGCCCGCCCTGCAAAAGACAAGAGTAGACATCATGTGCGGGATGGAACGAAGCGGTCAATGTTTGCACGCACGAAAACATGTGTCGTTTGGGTAGATACCAAAGATTCCTTTCATAAAGTGCTGGCTGACTTTTATAGTCGAAAGGGCACCGTTTCCAATTCTCCAAATACCGTTTGCGGTTGAAAGTACCGTGAGGGTGAACAAAAAATTGCAAAACAGGCACGGATGCACCATCTAGGCACCGGTAAATCAGCGGCAACAATGCTGCGATAATTACAGTTGTTATACTTTTACCATTCGTGGGTGAATTAAACACATGTGCAAGGCAGACAACAACTGGAAAGTTCCTCAGGTATGANCACGGATGCACCATCTAGGTACCGGTAAATCAGCGGCAACAACGCTGCGATAATTACAATTGTTATAATTTTGCCATTCGTGGGTGAATTAAACACATGTGCAAGGCAAAGAACAACAACTAAGAAAATTCCTCAGGTATGACAGCTGCAAACAAAGCTGCGGTATTTCCGCAACACAAAACGCCATGCAGGAACAAAAATCATATATGCCTAGGTACACACATACAAAGTTCATGGTAGATAGAAGTGTTTGGTGTTTTCAACCGCACTAAGACTGCCGTCTTTTCATTGGTCAGCCGGTTAGCGCGGTCGATGCTATTAATATGGATGCACCATCTAGGTACCGGTAAATCAGCGGCAACAATGCTGCGATAATTACAATTGCTATAATTTTACCATTCGTGGGTGAATTAAGCACATGTGCAACGCAGAGAACAACTGGAAAATTCCTCAGGTATGCCAGCTGCAAACAAAGCTGCGGTATTTCCGCAACACAAAACGCCATGCAGGAACAAAAATCATATATGCCTAGGTACACACACACACATACAAAAATGTGTTGACCGCGGGAACGTGTGGCGCACAAAAATCTACGCACAAAACAACTTCAAAAATGTGTACCGCGAACGTGTGGCTCAAAAACCAATGTCAAAAAATTACACGAACGCGGGAGTCTGCGGGTGGCGCAGAAGCCAACCCACAATTGCACGTTTCGAGACCACACGCGGACCGATACCACTGCTGTACGCCAAACCCACGAAGCACACACACACATTTCTCACTTGGATCGTTCTTCCGTGCCGAATGAAGTGCTTGGCTCCTGGTCCTCCGCCACGTCCTCCACCACCAGCTGAGAGGCTTGGCTGGTGGCGCGTGTTGACTCCTCTGCGGTACTCGTACGTGCAGCTGAGAGCGAGTCAGCAACTGGCTGCTGGTGAGGCGAGGCGGTGGCTGTCATGTTGGCGCCTGTTGCAGTGCCAGCTGCTGCTGCTGTCGTTAGATCAACAGCAGCAGCAGCAGCAGGAGGAGGAGGAGGAGCCGAAGCAGGAGGCGCTTGCGTAGAAGAATTTGCTTGGGTTCAAAGAACGAGGTGATCTGCGACGCCTGTGCTGCTGCGGTCGAAGCAGCTGCGGAGGTACTTGCGGCGGCAGTCCGCTCTTCTTCCCGCACGTTCATGTTGTTGGAGGTCTCCATGCGGGGTGTTTTCCCCGCACACGGAGGGTGTGTTTTGTGTGATGCCCAAGGGCAGATGCTGCCACCCCGGTGATGA